CTCATTTACAATGATATGATTTTTTGTTCTTTGATGCCTGATACGTGATCCCTTCGACACCTCGTGGTCACACAGGCTGGTGTGCTTCTTTATGTGGGATTTATTGCTTCTCAGCTAGATGGCTGCTTTTTTACCTTCAAGCCTTTAAGACCCTAGATGCTATATCTTTTGATAGTCGGGAACCATCAGCTTTCTTCACATGTGCTTATGCACACATTTGTCTTCAGTCATCAGTGGGTGCCCACCTTCCTGATATGATCACTGGGGTTCTCTGTTTTTATTTGTCCCTCTTTCTTGCCTCTTATTGCCATCTGAGCTTTGTTTTTGTAGAAATACTACCCTGTTAATCTCATATGGTTGATTTTGCTCAGTATGTTTTAAACTACATGTGGTTCCAGAATCTTTTTAATTCCATCATTATCTAAGGTAGCATAAAACTTTAATGTCATTGATTGACCAGTGATGGATTATCATGTATTTCTGAGAAAGGGTAGAATTTTAAAAATGCATTTAATTGTAATATAGGCTGATTATTTTAAAATAATTATTAAATTGTCTTAAATAATTTAAATAAATAAATAAGTACAAAAACATGAAAGAAACTATGTGTGTTTTTACACATAAAAAGCCCTTGTGGCACTGTCAAATGTGTTGGACTACTAGCTACATGGTCAGAGGTTCAAACCTGCTAACTGATCTGCTGGAGAAGTTAAGACTTTCTGTTGCTGTAAGGAGTCAGAATCAACTGATGGTAGTGGCATTTTTGTTTCTTACATAGAACATGCTTTCCAGTAATTGTTTCATTATATATTCCTTTTTAACTTTTAGGGGATGGTGAGAAATCTGTTAGGAGGATTCATAAGTATTTTAATTCAGACTGGTTCTGACTTCCAAAGTAAGTAGAGACTTTTAATTTTAAACAGCACTGAAATGTATTACCATATCTAAATTTTGCTTTAGGGAATGAAAGCCTAACATACTTGAACCATTTATTTAGGTTTATTTGATGTTTCCTTATGATTAAATTCAGATTACACAGTTTTAGCAGGAATACCTCAGAAGTTATGTTCTGCCCTTCTCACTGCCCTGTAGCAGGAGGCACACGATGCCAATATGTTTCATAACTGTTAATAATGACTTTGACCACTTTGTAAAGGTGATGTCTGCCAGGTTTCTATGCGGTAAAGTTACTATTGTCCCTCTGTAATGCATACGCATCTTGTAGGGACAAACATTGAAACTATGTAAATATCCTTGTATTAAGTAATATGGTAGTGTTCCCCAAATGAGGATTTTTTTTATTTCCATCATTCCTTCTCCACCACTTGTCTGTCATAACTGGCTTATGATGGCTTATGTGTTGCTGTGAGCCTGGAAACTAAGTCACTGGTAATTGAAATACCAGTAGGGATACCCAAAGAGAGCATGTGTCGAGAGAGCTTCCAGACTAAGAGCAGATTGCAAAGAAAGAATAGGCTGTCCATTTCAGAGTAATTAGCCACTGAAAACACTGTCAGATACTGGAAACTTAATGAATAGCAGCAGAACATTTTTAGAGATAATGCCAGGAGATGACTCAGGAAGAGCTGCCTTCTTCAAGCTTTGGGGAGTAAAGCCTACAGCACCTTTATTTGCTGATAGGGCACAATTCAAAATGAGAAGAAACCGCTGCAAGTATTTGTTAATAATTGGCACTTGGGATGTAAAAAATATGAATCTAGGAAAATTGGAAGTTGTTAAAAATGAAATGGAACACATAAAGATAGATATACTAGGCATTGGTAAACTGAAACAGACTGCCATTGGCCATGTTGAATCAGTAAATCATATGGTTTACTATGCTGGGAATGACAGATTCAAGAGGAATAACATTGCATTCTTTATCAGAAAGGGCATTTCAGGATCTGTCTTAAAGTACAGTGTTGTCTGTGATAGGATTATCTTTCCATATACAAGGACATCCAATCAATACAACTATTATTCACATTTAAGCACCAACCACCATAGCTAGTGATGCAGAAATTGAAGTATTCTACCAAGCTTAAGTATAAAATTGATCAAACATGTAATCAAGGTACATTGATAACTATTGGCTATTGGAATGCAAAAGTTGGAAACAAAGAGGAAAGAACACTAGTTGGAAAATATGGCTGTGGTGATAGAAATGGAGCTACAGATCACGTGACAGAATTTGCAAGACCAATGACTTCTTCATTGCAAAACTACCACGAATTGCCAAAAGAACAAGTCTATCTTGTCAGTACAGCCAGAATGCTCCATAGTAGCAAGGATGGGGAGACTTTGTCTCACCTTCTTTGGGCCTGTTGTCAAGAGAGACCAGTCCTTGGAGAAGGACATCATCCTTGTAATGTAGTGGGGCAGGGGAAAATAGAAGACTCTCCACATGATGGATTGACACAGTGACTGCAACAATGAGTTCAAACACAAGGAAAATTTTGAGCATGGCATAGATCCAGGCAATGTTCCATTGCACATAGGTTTGCTGAGTTAGAACCCACGCCACAGTCCCTAACAACATTCCTACTATATTTATTAATTGGAATTATATTAAAGAAGAGATTTCCTTTTTCCCATTTACTTATTTAAAGTACTTAATGACTCTCTAGACTTGAGATAGATTGGTAGATTGGTTCCTACCTACCCTGAGCCCTTTGTATTTCAGAGGTTCCAGGCCATTTTTTTCATTTTATCCATTTCCTTTGCCATCTTCAAGTACTGTTTTAAAAATCTCTTATCTGATACACTCATAAGATTACTTACAGAGTAAGATCCATGCATACAATCTCACTGTAAGTTGTCAGCTCTAAAATTTTTAATTTGTGGTATATATATTTATGTGTGTGTGCATATATGAATATATGGATCAGCTGACAAAATGAATATAAAGTTCTTTGGACCCTATAATGTGCTCTAAAACTATTAATTATTATTTTTACACCATAAAGTTGTATGAGTTTATGTATCACCATTTATATTTTAGGTTAAACCTCCTGATAAAAAACGGGAAATACTCATACTAAATTGTGATACTTAAGTATTTACAAAATCTCTAATATTTCTACCTTTACTTGTAACTTAATTTTCTGTTTAGAATATGATAGTTATAATTTAAACATTTTCAAAATGAGAAACTAACAAACTGTGGTATCTACTTGTTTATGAAGTTAAGTAATTTTTTAAATGATTTTTGTGTCTTCACTCTTAGTTGCTTGATTAGTTCATTGACTTATATTTAGTTATGCTGCTATTTCTTCAAGAGCTTTGAAATTATTAGATTATTCAGAATCCATTCAAGATGTGACAGTCATTTTTTTAATTGAAATATGTAATAGCTTTAATTTTTCTTTCTTTCTTCAATTTAGCCTGCCAGAGACTACTGGTGGATCTTTTGGTATCTTTGATGAGTTCAAGAACATACTCAGAAGACTTAATCCTTTTTTTGAGAATATTTCTGGAGAAATCTCCTTGTACAGTAAATATGCCAGTGTTTACTTTGATTTTAAATTGTCTGAAAATCACTAAAATAATTTTTAATTGTAATTGTTACACAGTTAACTCCATGTTATTGCATATGAAGTACTCTATTATTTGCACAGATTTTTAACTATTTTATTTTCACTTCTGTATTGTTAACTAGATGTATCATTGAAATCATAGACCCTCAATCTTTTTTATTGAGAAATCCAAAATAATTTTAATTACTTAGTAGAATTTATTATGAATGAAAATAATGATTTTGAGGATTATCCTTAAAATTTTTCCTCTCCATTCTTTAGTTATCTTCTACTGCATCTTTCCATGGGTGTAGTTTGTTGTTGATGTTAGCTACCATTGAGCCTGCACTTGACACTTTGAGACCCTATGCTCAGCAGAACAAAACTCTGCCCAGGCCTGAGAGTTTGTAGATGGACTGTTCTGACCCAGGGCAGTTTCCCGGACTTGATTTTCAGAAATAGATTGCCAGGTCTTCTGTCCTAGTAAATCTTAAGCTGGACACTATGAAAAAGCCTGTCCAGTATCAGAGTAACGCATAAGCTCCCCACCCCACAGACAAGGGGAGGCTGCAATGAGGTGCATTGGCTGAGAAGGCTTTTGAACTGATCTTTGCTGAGAATCTAATTTTTATAATGAAATCTTAACTACAGTGATAAGCAAATAAGTAAAAAGACCTTGAAGCCTCTTTTGTTTAAAGCAGGACTGGAAGTTGAGAGTCCTGCCTACTTCACTACCCTACCCCAGCCTCAGAGACCCTAAGGGACCTCTGTGGACCACGGTGAAAACCACTTCTGTAGATATTCTACAACCCACTGACATTTACGGAAACCTCTATTAATGTTTCCAAATTTATTTATCATTGTCATAATCACCATTAAATATCATCATATGCATGAGTTAGGCATGGTATTCTGAGTTCATCTTTCTTACTTTCTTGTCTCTCTAGTTATTAAATACTACTTTCCTCTCTTCTGTTTCAATTTAACCAAAGGCTTTTAATTATAAATAAAACCTTAAACTCTGTTTAAGTTTGGAGAATTTGTAAGGTCTCTGAATATATCCCTCATTTTGAAATAACTAAGGGCAGAATTATAGTCTGCTTGGAAATAAACAAATATCGTTGGTAGAAATGATGCCTGATATAATTATTATATTTAATTTATAAAGCTTAAAACTATCAAAATTATTAAACATTTAAATTTAAAGTATACTAGCCACAGGAGATTGTATGCTACACAAATAAAATTTCTATTTCACATTTTATTTGAATTATGCACAAATAAAAATGTTAATGATATAATAAATAGATAAGGAAGTATTGACGATATATGTGGCTATGTGTGTTTTTTTGTTTGTAATATGAATTTTAAGATGACTATGTAATTTATAACATGATTGTAATGCCTTGCATTTCTTTTTCTCTAGGAAATTCTTCTTCAGGGTATTCTGAAAATTGTTGAAACTGATATTACTATGAGCCCTTCACAGTATCTGACCTTCCCTTTAGTCCATACCCCAAATGCAAGCAATAGTGTTTCATCACAGAAGTGTCCCGGGATTCTAAACAGTAAGGCCATGGGATTATTGAGACGAGCACGGGTTTCACAGAACAAGAAGGAGGCTGACAGTGAAAACTTCCCCCACCAGCTGCTTTCCTCTTGGCACATAGCCCCAGTCCACTTGCCTTTGTTGGGACAAAACTGCTGGCCCCACCTGGCAGAGGGCTTCAGTGTGTCTTTGTGGTTCAGTGTGGATTGTATCCATGAGACTGAGCATTCCATAGAAAAAACAAAGAAGATCAAGAAGAGAAACAAATCAGTCCTTGTTTGGAATAACAGTTTTGAAGGAGCAGGTATGTCAGAGCTACCTGATTTGTACACTTAGATTTTTAAGGTGGTAGTTTGGGTTACAATGTAAGCAATGCTGTTCTAACTTATTCTTAACACAGTCTTCATCTTTAATGTCTTTGCATAGTACTGGCAGGTCCTGACACTAAAACCTGGGTTGTCAGGTGGCCTTCAAAATTCCATCTCCTCCCCTACATTAGGCATTTTGGGTGGAGGGTCCCCTTTTCTGCCTGGATACACCACGTGTGCTACTACTGCTGGGTCATCTATTTCCTTTCCTGCCTCACATCTGGGGACCCATTACTGCGTTAGGCAGGCTCCGAGTGGGAAAAAGGAAAGGGTGCCCCTGGAGCCACTTTTCTATCTTTCTGCTACCTGTTTCCCGTGTCCTGTTAATCAGCCTCATTCAGCGCCTTTCATTTCAAGCTGCTCCTTCCATGCTGCTTCTGACCCCCGCGCCCCTCTTCTGCTCTGTGCTACGGGACGTTGAAACGTCTCAGTCTGTCTCCAAATGATACTAGGATGGTTTGAGGTAATATGAGACACGTGATAACGACGTGTGCTCTTTGGGCCAGGGTTAGGATAAATTTAATTCCAATCCTTTCTATCACTGAAGAATTGCTATTAGATGCCAATGAAACTGTATTTTAGAAGAAACTATGCATCAAAAGCAGTTTATAGTTGTAGGAAGGAAAGCAGGTAGGCTAATTCTTCAAGGCTTTGGAATGAGTGAAATGGCTTACTGAGACAGGGGCTGCAGTATTTTGACTTCTGTGGAGGGGCTCACCTCCTCAGCTCTTAACCCTGCCTTTTTTGACCCTGGGTTTTAGAACACTAAAACCTTCACTAATGTCCTCTTCAGGGGAGGTCCTCTACCACTGGTTTATGGATGGAAAAGAAAATCCTAATAGCATTGTCAGATTAAGTGGGAGGAAATGTCACCTGATATTCAGAGTTGGAGTTCTGAATCCATTTTCTTACAGATGACTGGCTGACCTGGTGATTAAAATCCATATTGTTAGCAAAGTGTAATACTTATATGCTTTATGGGTTAGCCTAGGAGACTGCTTTTTTTCCCCCCTCTCTCAGATCTAAGCAGATAATTTGTCATGTTTCAGTTACAGTATTTTCTTTTGTGCATTGAATTTTGTCACTTAATAATTTATCAGAAACTATACTACATAAATAATATTGATGATGATACTATTTGATGGTACATTGCATGCTTTTTTATGTGTGTCACTTTGCTCAACTCTTCTACACATTTTTTATCTTCCCAGTAATTCAGTAAGGCATGTGCTCAGATATTTGCATATGAAGTTAAAAAGCATGAACATGTAGCTAGCTGGTAAAAGGAATTTATACCCACATTTATTTGATTCCATAGCATAAATGTCACTACTATAGAAAAAGTTAGGCAGATTTCCTTCTCATAATTTTAGTGGATAAACATTCCAACATAAATAGTCACATATAAAATGAATAAATACCATGGGCTCAATAGAAAGTAAATGTCTAGAAAAGGATGAAGGCAACATATGTACAAATTTGCCTGATGCAAGCAATGTATGGATTGTAAAATGAAAAAATAAAAATAAAATGAGTAATATATACAATGACCAAAAAAAATTAAGTTTGAAGATTTAAAAAATCTTATCCTAAGCTGTATTAGGAAATAAACATTTTAGAAAGATGATTTTTAAGTCCTTTTCATCTCTTATTGCTGCAACATACTCCATTGTTTGTGTGCATGTGTGTGTGTCTGTACACACACACACACATATACATATATATATTCAGTGATACCTCTGCTGTCAGACTCAATTCATTCAAAATTCCTGTTTGAACACCAAAAATCTAGAGAACTGAACATATTTTCCCATAAGAAATAATGGAAAACTAAATAATTTGTTCTGAGGCCCCAAAATTATACTTTTAAATTAATTTTCCAGGACTTTAACACAAAGTTAACACCCCTAGGTTGTTGAAATACCCTCTAAAACATCTCAACAACAAAAATTACAGCACATTAAATATCAAAACAATACTGTAAATAAAATTAACTTTTTTTTCATTATGTTTTGCTGTTTAAAAGCCCATGGGTTTTTGGAATGGTACATTAACATGGGCTTCACAACAGCAGACTTAGCTTATCTTTCATAGGCTTGTGGCCTGGCAATGGATTTTGCTCTTTAGTAATTAAGGTCCTATTGGACACCCCGCCCCCCTAAATTCGGTTTCATCGCAGTTGCACACTTGCTAGGTAAAGAAACCCATGTATTCAGCAAATTCAGCCATGAATTGATTTCTTGGCTTCGTCCTTATTTGCACTTTCCCTTTCTCCGGGCCTCTCTCCTCTCTCTGCCTGTTATCTTGTTGAGTTTTTCAAACCAGGCACGGCTGGCTTTGAATACTTTGGTATTCAAATACTGCTCAGCACTCACTTTTAAAACATTTTTCATTAAATCACTATGGAGGCTTTTAGCCTTCTCACATACTACTAGCTCAGATATGCTATCACCATTTTAACTTTTCAGTCTTTTCGATTATCTGAGTTCTTTGGTCTGTGGTTAATTAACTGTTGCACACCTTTAGCTACCTTAGCTGCTTTAATCGCTCAACACCCTCCCCCACCCCAAATGTTGATAATGTCAGCTTAGCGATGTTGTATCTAGCCGCCAAATCTGACAAGTGGTGACCTGATTCAGATTTTGCAGTGATAGCTCTCTTAAGTCTATCTGGTTCTCACAGTTTTCCTCTTAGCTTTAGTGCTGGCATCACTGACTTTCTTTGGAATCACGGTTATCATATTTTATGCACATCAAGTGCAATAAGAAGCACAGTGATCAATGTTTTAACACAACAATATAAACACTATATGTTGTCAGAGTGAGAGTGCTGCTTAGACTGAAGCATCCCTCATTTGTGTCCATGGCAAGACACAACTCATGACTCACTCTCAGCTGATACAGCCTTTTCAAGTCAGATTTTCAGTTCAACAATGCATAATGACTACGCCACCAGGGCCCTTCAAATATAATAGACATATATAAACATTTTTCAATAGTAATAAAATATTGCAGTAACACATCCTTTGCCACTAAACTGTGTGTCTTTGAGTATGTTATTTAACCTCTTAGAGCTTTAATTCTCTTAACCTATAAATGGGGATAACATTATCTCATAGAGTTGCTATGAGCAGTAAATTAAGATATAATAACAATATGACTACACTACACACAAACTGTTTATCATAATTTTTATTTGTACAAGTTCATATTTAGTATAAGACTTATTTTTTAATTCCATCTCTCATATGAATTCTGTAACCATCTTCAATAGTAGTCCTCAAAATAATTGATGTTTTTAACTCTTCCTTTTGAGAGTGAGTGAGTGTGTGTGTGTGTGTGTGTGTGTGTGTAGACTATGGTAATTGCTAGGTGGAGTGTTGGTGGTTTTTTTACCTGTTGATAAATGGAAATAATGTATATGCGCTGTATTAGCCGTTGTTTATCTTCCCTGAACATCTGTGACTTTGGACATATGTTTGTTTGGGTACTTTTAATATAGCTTTGCATAGATATGGTAGCTTGGATGATTGAGGTTCCAGCTTATTATAAATATTCAGATAGATTCATTTGGTGAGAGAAGCCAAGGTGATGACCCAGCTAGCTCAAAACCTGTGGTATTTACTTTAGCTTGGGGAAGCATTTTAGAGTTAGTTTCTGATCACTTAGTAATTATATTTAAAGATCATTAACTCATCAGAGAATCTAAACACTGACTGTTCAATTATCTTTCAAAAATAATTTTAACATGATCAATTTAGAAAGAAATAATGTCATTGTAATCATTTAAGAGTATTTTTGGTAATAATACTTTGGTCTATGATGTCATAGTGGCTTAATCCAACTGATAAAAGAAGGGTGCTGCAGGTTCCTGTAGATGATCACAGTTAGTATATATTGTAAAAATTTTAATACTTGCTTTAAAGCACTGGATTACTGTTTTTCACTCTTTATGCAATTGTGGGGTTAACCTAAGTTTTGGAACTATTGTTGATTTGGAACAAGTCAAGGTCAAACATTCTGGATAAATAGCTTGCTACAAATGAACAATCATGCTTTGTATGATTTTAAATTCACCATTTCAATTTTTATGAACTGTCTTACTGATCATTTTTAAATCTTTTTATGCTAGAAAACAGCACACCTGAAGGTGCAAAGTTTGTAAATCCTGGTGAAAGACTCATCGAAGAAGGCTCTGTTCATATGATTTCATTGGGATCCAAAACCTTGATGATCCAAGTGTGGGCTGATCCCTGCAAAGGCACTTTAATTTTTCGGTATTGATAATCCCTACCCCCCAAGCATAGGTCATATATTTAAATAATTTGATGTAAGATACATGAATGTGAAATTTGTTCATAAAAATACTTTTAGCAAAGAGAAAGATCTTATGTATAAAAGAGAAAATCTTATAAAGATACGAGCAGCTATTGATACCATATTTATAGCATTACTCTATCCCAAAACTCTACAGTTAAACTCTTATATCCAAGCCAGAATCATTGTTATCAAGTCATTAGTAAAAGTATTAGCAGCTGTTGTACCACATTTGTAACATTCTAGCCAAACATCTATGATTAAACTCATATCGAAAGCAAACTCACTGCCATCAAGTCAATTCGAATTCATACCAACCCCATAGGACAGAGTAGAACTGCCCCCTTGGATTTCTGAGACTGTTCATGTTCACAGGAGCTGGTAGCTATTTTCTCTTGTGGAGCAACTTGTTGGTTTGAACTGCTGTCCTTTTGGTTAACAGTTCACTACATATCCTACTATGCATATTAGCTTCTAATTCCCACACAGTCACCCCACACAGTAGGTTAGACCACCAAGATATCTTGGCAATTAGACAGATATATACAATAGGTATCAATTTTTTGAATCAGATACCTTTAATTTCATCAAATACTGTAATTTTAAAAATATGACTATACAAATACTAATGATATTTTTATAGTTTTGTAGACCAAATACTGACAATTAGTGCATAAATTATTATCACAAGCAACAAGTCCAATCTATTTTAGTTCATATGTAGAAATAAAAATACTGAGTCAGAGGTCTCATGTTATTAATCTGTGCCTTTTCTCTTTTACTGTAGTATGTGCATGGATTCAAATGATGATGCAAAGGCTGTTTTACTAGCACAGGTGGAATCACAGGAGAATGTTTTCCTTCCAAGCAAATGGCAACATTTAGTACTCACCTACTTACAGCAGCCCGAAGGGAAAAAGAACATCCGTGGGAAACTCTCCATATGGGTCTCCGGACAGAGGTGTGAAGCATGTTTAGAAATTAAACATTAACTTTAATTATAATTTTAAGTTTAGTATGTTAGAGTTTGGGAAACATTGCAGAAAATTATAGATGTTCTGTATGTCTACTATATAGTGAACTAGGAATCTGTATACTCCTACTTAGATATTTTTTTCTATTCATTATTTTCATACAAAAAGGAGTCTTCCGTTGAAGTCACTGTTGAAAATTAACATATTGGGTTTGGGGGAACATGCAGAAACCTGGACATTTAGACATTTATGTACAATATATATTCGATGAAGAAAGAGAAAAACCCAAACCAAACCAATGCCATTAAGTGGATTCTGATTCATAGCAACCTTATGAGATG